TGCCGTCGGCCAAACAGTGTCGGCTGGCGACCCCCAGGGGGAGGGCCTTCTCTGTGGGAGCCCCCACCCTGTGGAATGAACTCCCCCCAGAGATCCGGATTATTCCGGATCTCCCCTCCTTCCGCCGTGCCCTCAAGACATGGCTTTTCCATCAAGCGGGATTGGCCTAGGGGGGGATTTTATAGGGATTTTAAAGGGACTTTATAATTTTAAATCTAATACAGGTCATTTAATATATATTTTAATTTGGTTTTTAGATATTTATTGTATTGTACTGTTTTTATTTACCTGTAAGCCGCCCTGAGTCCCTCGGGAGAAGGGCGGGGTATAAATGGGAACAAATAAATAAATAAATAATAAATAAATCCTTTGCCCATCTATCCCAACAGTCTGTTCTCACAGTTGTTGTTCGTCCATCGATTTTCGATGAAGACCTTGACATCTTGTGGATTGTGGGCCATCAACGGTGTGTCCGTAGATGGCTAATGAGACCGATGTTAGCACGGAATGTTCTGCCACATACTGAACAGAGAAATGTGGACACTGTTGCTTCAGCATTTGCAGCTCTGGCTTTACGGAGTGCTTGCTTCTCTTGTGCCAAGATTGTCCTTCTGTGTTCGTATGTCTGGCAACCCTGGTAAACCAGGGTTCGCCATGTCAGTCGATCATGCGCCAAAAATTCCCAAGAGATGGTGTCGATATCCAGGGACTTGAGAGATGCTTTCAGCGTGTCTTTGTATCGCTTCTTTTGTCCCCTGTGCGATCGCTTTCCTTGAGACAGCTCACCATAGAAGAGCTGTTTAGGGATGCGATGGTCTGGCATCCTTACAACATGGCCTGCCCAGCGCATCTGGGCTTTCATCAATAGAGTGTAAACTGATGATAGGCCTGCTCTGGAGAGGATATCTGTATCTGGTATCTTATCCTGCCACCGGATCCTCAGAATTCTATGAAGGCAAGTCATGTGGAAGTAATTCAGTTGCCTAACGTGCCTCCTGTACACTGTCCAGGTCTCACTAGCATACATCAGGGTAGTTAGCACTGCTGCCTGGTAAACTTTAAGCTTAGTAGCAAGGCTTATTCCACGACGATCCCACACGTTAGTTCGCAGTCTGCCAAATGCAGAACTTGCCTTGGCAATTCTACAGATGTCAATTGTCACTGCGCGGGAGAGGGTACTACCAAGATACGTAAATTGGTCCACTGCTTGCAGTTTTTGTCCCTTCACTGTGATGGTAGGCTCTTGGTATTGGGCTTTTGGAGCTGGCTGGTACATCACTTCAGTTTTCTTTGTGTTGATGAAGCCAAAGTTGTCACAAGCAGCTGCGAATTTGTCCATGCTGGCTTGCATTTCCTGCTCCGATCCTGCATTAAGGGCAGAAGATCTCGTAGCACAGTCTCCTTTACCTTGGTGACAGCCTGGAGTCTGTGCAGGTTGAATAATTTCCCATCGGTTCTGTACTCACAGTAGCAACTAACTATACTAGTCTTCCAGAAGATGGTCTTCATAAGCAGTTGCATTGCTATCAAAGCTAATAGCCATTGATCCTCATGACTTCAGTGAATTGCGCCAACCCTTTTTTGAAGTCAGTTGACTTGATAGCCAGCACCAAATCTAGTGATAGTTCCATAGGCATCTAGTGGTAATGAATTCCAGACTTGAATTGCATGTTGTATAAAAATCCTTTTGTCTTATAGAATTTAATTTCATTAGATGACTTCTGATTCTAATATTTGGGAAGGGAAAAATAGCTTCTCTTTGTCTTCATCATACGTAATTTTATATGCTTCGTTCCCATTCCTTCTCTTTTACTTCTTCTCTAGTCTAAAATGTCCCAAATATCACAACCTTTCTTCTTAGAGAAGCTGCTTCAGCTGCTTGCTCAACTTAGTTGGCTCCTCTGATCCTTATCTAGTTCTCCACATCCATTTCAAGGTACAGCAATCAGAACTGCACACAACATGCTACATGCACTCACACCACTGATTTATATAAGGGCATTATGATGTTGGTATCTCTATTTTCAATACTTTTCTTATTATCTTTAACATGCTGTTGAACCTTTTTATAGCAGATGTACATTGTGTCAATACATTGACCAAACTCTTTACCATTATTTCAAGATCTCTTTACTTATCTGTCACTGTTAGCTCTGATCCCATTTGTTTGTATAAACAATTAGAATTTTTGGCACCAATTTGCTCACATTGAATAACATCTGTCATTTTGATGCTCACTCCATTTTAAGTGTATGTCTACTACAATATATTTTACACTATTGCATTCTTAGGCTTTTGTAATTGGACTGTAGGTTAATACTGAAATAATAAAAAGTAGATCCTCCCCAGTCAGGTTTCTTCATCCTGTGCTCAGGAATCTATAAAGCTTGAAATAAATCAAAAGGATCTTATACTTTAAGGCACAATGTTGGGGGAAGGGAAAAATCCAGAAAATATCTTATTATACTTCAAAGTCTAACATTTATTATGACATAGATGCAATTCTAGTGCTCAGTAATAGCTATAAATATATTGTAGTAGGCATACACTTAAAATGAAGGTGATTTTAATATGGGAATGAGCATCAAAACGATAGATATTACACAGTGTGAGAAAATTGGTCCCAATAATCTTAAAGCTGAGGGACTTGTGCAATCCATGAATTATCTCCCTTCCCTGCAAGTGAATTGGAATCTACATCACTAAAGATTGTATATCAATATGAAGGAGGAAACCTGAATTAAAAAATATGGCATCTAAAACTGTGAGAGAAGAAATTGATAAGGGTCTGAGCAAAATTCAGTCTACTATGGATATTCCTCACAGCTTGAAAGCATCCATAAATACCTGTGTCATTTCAGAAGTAGAATTTCCACATTTTGACAAACAGTATCACAGAGTGCAATTAGGTGAGTGCTATTGTAAAATATAAATAATACACTTCATTATTTGAGTGTACCAATCATATTACTAATGGACTGAGTAATATGGGGATATATTTAAGTCATGGAACATTTATAACAAAAGCACTTATATCAGCAGCAGCACAAGTCATTGATATGCTTGTTTTTAAATTCCCTAGTCTTATTCTGCAAACTATATTGCAATTTTTAATCTCCTTTAGTAATTTAGCAATTACATTAATTGATTCCAGTAATTTAGAACATTGTGCCATATGTTTTGAGCTATAAGACCAGCTTTCTCCAAGTATTTCTTTTTAGAATGTTGAATTTCAGCTCCTATGATTCACAGCTAGTATGTGCTTGTTTCAAAAAATACTTTAGGAAACTGTAGGTTTGGAACACTTTCACAGGGTCCTGTAGCATCAACTAAGAGCAAGAACTATTGGAAAACTGGATCTTAGACAATATAAACTAGTTTTTGCCAAATGTCTGTGGAAATCTATTCAAGAATCTGCTTAGTTGACTTTTGTGGTTGATTCAGTGTGTAAGTGGGAATGATAAAATGTTCAATACATCAAGAAAAATTCTACAGTTACTTTTGTGATTGAGGTGACATACAAATAGATTAAATAAATATGTGTTCATTTAAATCTGATTAATTTGTGTGGCTTTCCAGCTTTTATCGATTGGAGTTGTCATTGGATCCTAGAAACAATGATATTGTAATTAATATTTTCTCTCTTCAAGAAAAAGGTTAAAATCATCCATTGATATTTACTAAGAAATATAATTTAAAAATGAAATTATAGTTTGCCTATTGCTTGGTGGATACAGTTTGCAGCATTGCCTATAAATTGCATCATTTGGGAATAATGTGAATTACAGTCCAACACATCTGGAAGGTATCCATTGAATGTGGTTGCTTTAGAAAGAAATTACACAATCTGACATGAGTCAAAATAATAGCAACAGATTGGGAAACCTGCAGTATAAAATTGGCCTTTTTGTAGCCTGGTGTCTCTAACTGAATTCAGCACCACTTAAAAGTGTGTATGAGAGAGAAAGTGAATGAGAGGGAGATAGTCCAATAATAAGAACTCTCTAGGTAGAATACAGTCACTTAAAATATAACACAAATTCCTCATTTTAAAAAAGTTTTTAAAACAGAAAATCTACATGGGGAAAATCTATATATGGTTTGTGAATAGCTACTGAAATAATTAAGGTTTAAAGTAATTATCCCAGTCTGTACACCACTGGATTTATTTTCTCTACAATTTCACTGCTGTGAATCCATGTGCAATACATATACCCATGAGAGTGCATAACTATAGTTCGCAAAAGTTGGTAATCTTTAAAATGCCACAATATTCATGGTTGTTTTCACATAGTAAGTGGCAATCAAACTTGTGAATCCAGAAGACCCTTGTAACTGTTTCACTTTTTCCTTCTTTTCAAAGTGGTTGATGTTCACAAACCCTCCCCTAAAACTTTACTAATCTTTGAAGTTGATTTTTTTTCCTATTGAGATTGACCCTTCTTTTTGCTTTTCTATTTATTCTTTCCATTACCGAACTTCTGATGTTCTTTAGCAACTCAGATTCATTCATAAAAACTGAAGATAATTTTCCAGGTGAAGTTCTTTGACACTCTGGCAGCCTCTAATTAAGACTAGCATGTATTATCTTTTTAATGACAAGTGATGTGATTTTGCTATTTGTTCCCTTTTTACAGGGTTTATTTACACAGGAGAAGTTGTGCATCAGATGTTAACAGCAACACAGTATATTGCACCCTTGATGGCCAATTTTGACCCAAGTGTTTCGAGAAATTCTACTGTAAGATACTTTGACAATGGTAAGCATGAATATTTTTGTTCAGATTACTTTTATTTTAGCTGCTGTTTGTTTCCCTTTGTAGGAAATTACACACTGCGGTTGATCATAATATTTAGCTCTTAAAAATGTAATACATTTTGTCAGCATTGTTAAAAAAGCAGATCATGATGTTTTCTTTTTAGTACCATCTGCATTGTAAATATCCATTAATGAAGTAAAAACATTTTTTCTTTGTCATATTTTATAGAAACATAGGGTATATTATAGAAACAAAGAGGTTAATAAACTTCATAAAGATAATTGAAGTGTCAGTACTGTATATTTTAATAATCCTGCCTTTATTTACAGCTCTCAAAGATCAATATCTGACATAAAATTGTAAGATGCAAAAACAAAATCTAATTTTGTTGCTGGAACTATACAAAGAATATACATATTTGAGTTAATTAAGCCATCCACTCTGTCATAGATTTACAAAACATAAAATTGTGAAGGAATATTGTAAATCATTTAGTCCAGTTCACCGTTCACTTACCAGAAGCCATTACTGTAAGGTATTCCCGGCAGCTGCCATCCTGCCAACTCAAATTTTTTTGCAAAAAGGAAATCTACCACCTCTCTATGCACGATGCTCATCTTCTTTACAACTCTCCTTCTCACATTCAGATTTTTAATTCTGACCTATTGATCTTTATCCTGTTTTCAACAGGGAAAACATCTTCCTCAATGCCTCTGACTGTCATTTAGATATTGGTGGATAGCTATCTAACTCCTCTTAGTTTTCTCTTTTATAAGCTAACCATGCTCAGCTCGTTAATCATTCCATAAGGCTTGGTTTTTACCTCCTACATCATTCTACTTGCTGTCTTCTGAACCTATTCCAGCTTTTCCACTCATGTAAACTTCTTGTTAATCTGAGATACAGATTGAATTTGGATGTTTTTATTTAGATTTAGAAGAACAAGCATTGCAATCACTTACAGCATTCACATTCAGTAGAATTATTGCTGATTTAACTTGAACAGCTTGAGTTCTGAAAAAATAATAGATTTATCTACCTTTTAGCCTGGAGAGAACACATAATTTTGTTAGTCTTTGATCACTGCAGCAAAGAGATTCCCTGCAAGTTACAATCATAACAATAAAGCATTCACAGTACACATACAGTATAATAGTATATTGTGTATAGTGTGTGTGTGTGTATTATAATATAGTAAAGTATAGTATAGCTTCTACTTAATTTATAGTTACATACTTCTATACATCTTGCTCAACTTTAATTAATCTTTAAAAATGTTTATTTTTTTCTCCAGGGCTTAGGTTAAACTACTAGGAGAAGCCACATTATATCTCATGTGGCCAGAGATTATATTGTCCCTTAGAGATAGGTTGTGGTTTTATATAATATTGATTATTTTAACTTGTAAAGCCTCAGAGATGTTTTGAAATTAAGCAATCTAGAAATTAAATCAATGAATTAATTAAAAAGATCAGTTGCAAAACTTCAACCACAAATAAAATCATAAAACAATCAACCCTGAAATAATTAAAAGCAGAAGTCAACATCCATTTATATCTATATGTATTGCACTCCTAAATACCCACATAATATTTCTGGGTTCTTGGAGAAATAAATACCTGTAGTTTTCACAGAGTTTCATGTACACCAGAAACAAAGACCTTGTAGCACTTCATATTTTGATTTGATTCCAGTTTCTATAGTCAGACCAAGGGACAGGCTTTCAGAAGTAATCCAAGCAAATTACATTTGGCTGAATGAAAACTGAGCTCTATTTCTGGACTTAATAGATGCGCCCATGTTACTTTGTTGGCAACAGTTTACCATCATCTTCTTCCAGATATTTTTTTTCTGATTTTCCAGCCAAGCCAGCCAGTCTGAGATTTTCTGTAGTCTCTCCTCCAGGCATTAGCCAGGTAGATCCTATTTGCTTTTCAACATCAGCTGCCTGTTACCATCAAGCTGGGCACTTCTAGAGAAGCATGAGTCAAGTGACAATTATTCTTCAATAATAGAAGTTGATACCTTGGTACCATACCTTACATTTCTAAGACTAATAGATTGTTAGTCAGATAGCTCCCTGTAGTTGGTATTTCTAATCCAAACTGTATAATATTTGTTCCGTAAACACTACAGTTTTATCTTGCAGTAGCATTTATGAAATTTAAATGCTAATAGATGCAGAAATATTATCATGAATTGTGTTTAAAGAAATTTGAAAACTACATTGACAAATGGATAAGTATGTAATTGGTATTAGACCTAGTAGATACATGGAGCCCACAGATTTACAATATGCATTAAATATTTCTGGAGAATCAGAGCCTCAAATAACAATAGCACTTAGATTTAGATGCTGCCCATAGTGTTTTACAGCACTTTCTGGGTGTCAACATATTGCCTTCAACAATCTGGATCCTCATTTTACTGATGTCAGAAGGCTGGAAGGCTGAATCAACCTTGAGTTCATCAGAATCAAACTCCAGGCTATGTGCGGAGTTTACCTGCAATACTGCATTCTAATCACTGTACCACCGGGGCTCCTTTTTCAAGACAGCTATATCGTCTCTACATGAAAAAGAATTCTGTAGATCCTTGTGAGCTATGAAATATATACACATACTTAGAGGGAGTCTAAAGAAAATGTGATGTACAAATCTAATTAGAATGCAATTGTTTCTTATCATATTGAATGTACAAATTCCATGTCCTTTGAGCTTACTGTATTTTCAGAGAAGTGATTGTTAGTACTATGACTCTTTTGACAGTGATTCAATTGACAGTGCCCGTAATCTTTTGTTATACAGAAAAAAATGTTTCTAGAAGGTCACTGGAAATTGATTTTTTTCATAAATTATTTAGAAAATGGTTCAATAATCCCCAAATTTTACATCTCTTTATTTTGTTCCTTAGTTTATAAAAGGTTGTAATTACACTAACATTTCTAGTATAATGTCTGTTTTAAAAGATAATTGAGTTGTAGTAATATGGTATTGTCTTCCTTAATGTCAGATATAGTATGCTATGGCTTACATTGACAATAGATTCTAGATGTTCAGATAATTTTGTAGAGTATCAAAATCAAGGAAGTTGAATTAATTTATTAAATTGCAATCATATACTTTCCTCCAGTGTTTTTGTCTCCTTTTCCCAACTTGACAGGCACTGCACTAGTTGTTCAATGGGATCATGTACATCTACAAGATAACTACAATCTGGGCAGTTTCACTTTTCAGGCAACTCTTCTCAATGATGGCCGTATAATTTTTGGCTATAAAGAGGTGAGTCTTATCAGGTAATGAATTATTTCACTTCAGGATGATAGCAGGTAATAAATATCAATACAAGATCAAATAAAAATGTTCACATGGGAAAAATCCTAGTTCATTAGTCTTTTAGTTTCTAGGATCTAGGATTTACAGTGGGATACTATTATAAAATAGAAAGACTTGGTTTCTGTACAAGGAAGAGAGTGCTGTGAGATGTAGTGGAAAATAAAGTCTCTTTTGTATGTTAAGCATAACTATTGCAACAGAGATGTATGACCTGTGCTCATCCTGTTGTTGCTGAATTACAAGTACCAGCATCCCTAATGAGCATTTGTAAATTTATACTGGGAGCTGTAGATGATCAACATCTAGAAAACATCAGATTGTCCACTATTGATTTTAGACATCAGAGGTCAAAAGTAGCAATTGGTGATGAGTCTTAATACACATGCTTCGTCTGGCTCTATTGCCTAATCTTCTATTCATGTGCGTATCAAACAGCAGATGCTTTGAAAATTAGAGAATGTGGGACCGTTGAGATGACAATGTAACATTACATTAGAATGTTCCATACTTTTTGTTTCTGCCTTGATTCATCCAGCTCTGATGACTTATCATTTGGCAGTTGCTTGTAATTCACTCTTGAAACACATTGCATCATCTCATCTCATTTATTAAAATATACCTGGTTCTGCACAGGGAGATTTTTACTGGATGAAACAACTATGGATTTTATTCCTGACAAGGAAAATAAAATGAAAGTATCATCACAAGCATCAGAAAAACTAATGTGCCACAGTGAGCTTCACGTCTCCTCATCCTTTCCTTTTGGTTGCAAATAGGTTAAATGAATTTGATGATAGTTAATATAAAGCTTTAAAAGGTAAACGTGGAATTTTTATGTTAGGGAAGGAAGAAAACATCTTTGGTATTCACTTCTGCTCTCTGGAGTTTACAACAATAGTAGTAGATTTTTTTCAGTGATCCTGGAAGACAAAAATAAATAAATGAAATCAGTAGAGATATAAATAGGGATAAAGAATTATATTGAAACACTAGGTCTGATATTCTGATTTGATGACTCTTATTAATATAAATCAGTTCTCACTTAAACAAGTCAGGAAATATATAGTGTCAAATAGAAATATTCCACATTTTTTTCCTTTTGGTTCAATTTGGTGGAAGAGACTTTGCTCGGGAGTTGACATTCTACATTTATTTAAGCATGAAATAGTCAAAACTATCTATGATTGTCCTGGGTTTTTTTTAATGGAAGAATCATCTGTCAAGCAGTCTAACTTCCTTGGTGGTTAAATCCCTAAAGAAGATCGAGGGCTAGACCATTTCCCCTTTATTTATTTTTTTAAATCATGCTTTTAAGCCAACCCTGCCCTTTAAAATAGTTAAACAAATAGTTCTTCCCCTTAAAGAAATTCATAGCAATCTTTCATGTTACATCCTATTTACCTGCTCAGTTTAATAAGTTAGAAAAATGTGGGTTAGACAGTATCACCACCAGATGGATTCATAGCTGGCTGACCGGCCGTACTCAACGTGTGGTCCTCAATGGAACTGCATCTACATGTAGGGAATATGTAGTGGAGTGCCCCAGGGCTCTGTTCTGGGACCAGTGCTCTTCAACATCTTCATCAATGATTTGGATGAGAGAATAGATGGGGAACTCATCAAATTTTCAGACGACACCAAGCTGGCAGGAGTAGCCAACACTCCAGAAGACAGGCTTAAGATACAGAAAGATCTTGACAGACTTGAACATTGGATGCTATCTAACAAAATGAAATTCAGTGGTAAAAAAAGTAAGGTTCTATATTTAGGCAAGAAAAACCAAATGCACAGGTATAGTATAGGTGGTACCTTGCTCAATAGTAGTAACTATGAGAGGAATCTCGGAGTCCTAGTGGACAATCACTTAAATATGAGCCAGCAGTGTGCTGCAGCTGCCAAAAAAGCCAACACAATTCTAGGCTGCATTACGAGAGGGATAGAATCAAGATTATGTGAAGTGTTAATATCACTTTATAATGCCTTGGTAAGGCCACACATAGAATACTGCATCCAGTTTTGGTCACCACGAAGTAAAAAAGATGTTGAAACTCTAGAAAGAATACAGAGAAGAAAAACAAAGATGATTAGGAGACTGGAGGCGAAAACATATAAAGAACTGTTGCTGGAATTGGGTATGTCTAGTTTAATGAAGAGAAGGACTAGGGGGGACATGATAGCAGTGTTCCAATATCTCAGGGTTTGCCACAAAGAAGAGGGAGTCAAGCTATTCTCCAAAGCACTTAAAGGCAGGACAAGAAGCAACGGATGGAAAGAGAAGCAACCTAGAACTAAGGAGAAATTTCCTGACAGTTAGAACAATTAATCAGTGGAACAACCTGCCTCCAGAAGCGGTGAATGCTCCAATAGTGGACCTTTTTAAGAAAAGACTGGACAACTATTTGTCTGAAATGGTATAGGGTTTCCTGCCTGAGCAGGGGGTTGGACTAGACGACCTCAAAGGTCCCTTCCAACTCTATTATTGTTATGTTGTTTGTTACGTTAATGAACAAGTGACAAAGGTTACTTAGATTCACCCTATGACTAGAAGCTTTCATTGAGAAGTTTTCATTCTCCATATGAGTCCAAAGTATAATCCTAATAATTATAAATAAGTTGTAGGGATATGTGAATGTACTTCCTCTATAATCTTCTGTAATCTTACATCAACTACATTAAATTATATCAACTAATAGTGAAATTGGGCCATTTAATCCTACAAGTCAACATTATAATTTTTTGTTTTGTGTCTACCTTATAAAACGGAAAATATTCTTTGCTCTCTGCTTCAAGTCTAGTTTCCGTTTCTGCCCTGTCCCCCAACTCCAACCTTTTGCTCCAACAAATTCTGAAAATTCAACAAATAGCTTTTAAAATGGCTGATGGTTTCATTGCTGCCTTAAAGAGCAGCTAACAGCTTTCACACTAAGCCAATTTACAAAAATGTAGGGAACAAACTTACTACTGGACTATTATTAATTTGATTAGAAAAGAAATACAGAAACAGTTGTATTGCTGAACATTAGTATAATTTAGAAACCCTAACCCTTAGAAACCTTTCTGCTGTTTGCTCCAAAATTAAAAGAATCTTGAAAAGCAGACTTTTGGTCTTGCGCAGTAGTGCAGCAGCCAAGGGATTTTGGAGCTCCGTACCTTTTGGCTGAATTTCTTCTGTTAGAGGACTCTAAATGGGCCAGAAGCCACCCCGAAGAGGTGCCAAAGAAGGAAGGAAGGAAGTCCTGCGGACCACGGAGAGATGGCGGTCCAATCAGTACAGGAGAAGTCTTCCAGAAACCAACAGGAGAAAGGCTAGCCTAACTTCAGAGTCTAGCCCAAGCTACAAGCAACCAAGTCAAAAAGCACTATTTTAAACTGATTGTTAACAGCACATTTGAATCTGGGTAAGATCATCGATTTTCTCTATCCTACTTATTAACTTTTCTTGGGAAAAAAATTCCCAAGAATCAAAAAACCTCCAAATGTGAAGGAGGTTTTTTTTTTTGCCCCACCCTTTTACTAACGGAAGTGGCAAATTAAACCTTTTATGGAATGAAATGAATATAAAACCTAAATTTGGATAAGTTTGGAATTGTTGAACGGTTAAGATTCTCATTTAAAGGCAATTTTCTATTTTGATCATTTGAAAAATAAACTGGTGCTGACATCTAGTGGTGGATAAAGACTATGACAGCTATGGCTTTTATACAGGACTTGGCAAAATCTGGAAAAAAACTAATCTGTACTTATGACCTTCAAAGCTATAACAATAGAGAACAGCTGTGACAAAAAAAGAAAACAATTTGGGTAGCAGACAAAGAGAGGATTATAAAATTCAGGAAACCTTTTTGAATCATTTTGGATTATAAATATCTACTAAACTGTGACTCTTAAGCTATTTGCAGAGAAAAGAAAATCTCTATTCTTGACCACTATGGAAAATTAGAGACTTGCAGAAAGAACTTATCAACAAAAAATAAATATCTTTCAAGAGGAGACATATGAGATGCTGCAACTAATTCAAACAACAATGACTTCAAACCACAAATAAATCCAAAATAACTTTGAAAACATAAACCAATTAATCTCCAATTTAACGTTACAACAACAAAAATCCCAGGAAATAACAATAGAGAAGGAGCAGATAAAACAGATAACTGAACACAAATTCGAGGATGGAGACTCAAAGATGGAACTTAACACAACAAAGAAGTATGATTTAACCCAAGTGGAAAAAATTTACAAGAAATATTGGTTTTGGAAAAGGTAACTTATACTTTAAGACCACAAGACAAATTTGAGGATAAGAAAAAAGACTGGTCAAAATGGATTATAGAGACATCAGGAACACCACTAGAACTGGAGAGACAAAAATGATAAGAGATACAGAGAGAAAAAGAAAGAAAAAGATTTTCAACAAACATGAAAGAGCAAATGCCTCTTACAAAGATATTGTATTTCACTTATTTTTTATATCTACAGTGACACCTACAAGAATATGGAAAGACTCTTTGATTCAGCAGAATATATTGATTAAAGATATTGGGCAAAAGAAAAAGGCCAAAATGAAAATTAAGAAAATAGATGATGGGACTTATCAGAGAGAATATTTAAAAAAGAAAGACCTGTTTGAATATGGTTAAAGTAATAGAAAGATTTTGGATATGAATTTTACTTTAAGAGGGAGGAGTCCCTCAAATAGCATAGTACTCTCTTTCTTCTCTTTTCTTATCTTATTTCTTGATATGAATAATATAAAAGAGTTAGAATGGCTTATATATAAGGACATATTTTAGATATTTAAATGTGATTGATTTTAAGAAAATTACAATGGATTGAAAAAAAATTGAATAAGAGTTAAAAGACCAGATGACTAGATTTATTAAATGGAATATTTAAAAATTAAATATATTTTAATTATGGTAAAAAGAATGGAAAATCTTTGGAAATATATATTAGCTTACGGGAAACCTGGACTTTCAGTAGTATACTATCTTTTTATCCTTCTTTACTCTTGTTCTTTTTTTCTCTTTTTTTAGTCTTATTTATTCCTTAAGTAAAGTAAAAGTTATGGGATGGTTTACATGAGAAAAATAGTATCAAATATCTAAATGTAATTAACTTTGAGAAAATCTTAACCAGTAAGAATGTCTTGAATATTGTGGAAAAAACAAATGTAAACAAGAACTGTAAACGGGATCTATGATGAGGCAAACAGAATGACTAGATAGAAAAGAAATATTATATTGATGTGATTATTATTTGCAGAAATATTAGAAAATAATTTATATTCAGTTGTTATCTATCAAAACAATAAGAATTGTATTAACTTAAGGTTGGTAAAAGAGAACATTATGGGAAGAAGAGGAAATCAAATAAAGCTATTATGTGGATTTTAGATCATAGACACCAATTGTTAGCGAATGTTTTTTAAGTGTAAACCCAGACAACACACTGTTTACCAAATATTAAGGTGACCATGTTAAAAAATTAATAAAATATATTATAAAAAAAATCTTGAAAAGCAAATTACTTCAAAACCAGCCTTTTCTTGGATGTTTAAAATGCAAAGACCATTGTCCCCCTTAATTTAGAGAGTCCAAATAGGTTATAGTTTTGCTGTTTCCCAGAATTAATAGAATTTCTATAAAATATTCAGTAACAGAAATGGAATTCGTTTCCCATCATATTTACTTTCTCTGTGGCTCTCTGTGCAGAATTCTAGTAGTGCTCACAGAACAGCATTAGAAAAAAAGCTGTTTACACAATAAGCAAATTGTTTGAGAAAAATGTTTGTTATATTTCAAGTTTTTGTGAGCTTTGTTCCTAGAGCGATCTGACAATGAAATCTGTGGATGACAGACTTGAAAACATAATTGCTGAGGTACTTACATGAAATTGGTGAGCAGGTCTGCCATAACTTTAAATATTAGATTCAAGTCACATCTCATTGTGTACTTGTTTATTGCATTTTATTTCATCTCCAAATGAATGTACTCTTTTTTGAAAGGTCAGTTTAATGCTGTATAGAAAATCTGTGGAGAGCAGCTATAAATTAACTCCATTTCTGACAAAAGCAGACCCCAGTAGCAAGAAAAGAAAGATGAAATGGTATGCGGAAATGACCTTGGGAGACAGGAAAAAGAGCCTAATATTAGTACTCCCAGTACCCAGACAAGCACAAATATGAATACTAGCTATGGTTTTGTTGTAAGGTTACATTAATACAATTTTACAACACTAAAAATGTTCTTCCCCTTCTTTCCTTTTACTCTACATAAAGCTAAGGAAGATCGGGTTACCATGTGCAACCTTGTTCAGCATTTGATTACATTTTATAATATGTCATGTTAGTGATAAATAGCTACTATCAAAAATAGATTGACTGAAAAACTATCTCTTTTCCCCCTTTTTTGGCAGATTCCTGTCTCAGTGTCCCAGATAAGTTCAACTAATCATCCTGTTAAAGTGGGGCTGTCAGATGCATTTGTGGTTCTCCACAGGATCCAGCAAATTCCCAGTATGTTGTTATTGAACATAGCATGAGCCAATATGATTTATGTGTGAGAGTAAAATAGATTAAAAGAGATTAAAATGTTTTAACTAAACAAAACTAGAAGTTTTATTAGGTTCAGCTGACTAATTTAAATATAATTTTACTTAGCTTGTAACTCCCACTGTGACACTACATTACTTTTTGTCAGCTATTCAAAAAGTTTCTCAAGATTCTCTGTAGTTCAAAACAGCTATTTTACAGGATTTTGGTTATTTTTACTGAAAAAACAACAAAGAACTTGAATAAAAGATTATCACTGTAATAGTCGTTTATTTTGAAGGAAATTTCATAAAATGGAAATTCTACTTGTAGGATTTCATATATGCAATTTCTTTATTCCACTAAGAGAGCTTAGAGGGACATTAAATATCCCTGTGTTCATACAATAATGATTATTTATAGATACAAGCTTTTTTTCTTCAAGCTTACCTATAGAATAAACAATACAATTTATTTTACTGTTAATACTTAAAGACTCCTTTAATTTGAGCTCAACTCCTGTGTCCCCAGGGAGATGTCCATATAATTTTCTTAATAAAAGTATGGAATAGCAGCCTTCTGATTGGTTTGCTTTTTTTACTTATAATAATAATAATAATAGTAAAGTTGGAAGGGACCTTGAAGGTCATCTAGTCCAACCCCCTGCTCAGGCAGGAAACCCTATACCATTTCGGACAAATGGCTGTCCAGTCTCTTCTTAAAAACTTCCAGGGTTGGAGCATTCACCACTTCTGGAGGCAGGTTGTTCCACTTGTTAATTGTTCTCACTGTCAGGAAGTTTCTCCTTAGTTCTAGGTTGCTTCTCTCCTTGATTAGTTTCCACCCGTTGCTTCTTGTCCTGCCTCCAGGTGCTTTGGAAAATAGCTTGACTCCCTCTTCTTTATGGCAACCCCTGAGATATTGGAACACTGCTATCATGTCCCCCCTCGTCCTTCTCTTCATTAAACTAGAC